CGTGGCGCCAAATACCGCCTCCGGCAAGACATACCAGGGTGCTGTGCGATTTGGTCATGTTTACGTCGTCGCCGACAAACTTGGGACCTTGTTCCTGGGCAGCCAGCAGATGCTGCAGATGCTTAGATGCGTAGTTGAAGGGAACTTCGAGCAAGCTGCGGCTTAAAATTCTAAAGGGGGAGAAAGCAGGGTCAGTTGCGGCCCGAGGCCTGGTGAGGACTCCTCAATTAGTATTATAAAGCCCCAAGTCCCTGAGGCCTCGTAATCTTGCAAGCTAAAGGGGTTTTGAGGTTCTGGAAGGCCTCGGATGGGCCTCGAACGGCTTCAAACCCTGGGAAATGAGGCCTCGGGCGGCCTCGAACGGCTTCAAACCCTGGGAAATGAAGCCTCGGACCATGCAGAGGCTTCAAGGGTTGGCGGTAATGTAGTGTGGCAAGGCTCGAGAGTTGACACTTGTTTTTGCAAGATTACGAGGCCTCGGGGACTCGAATCTTTCTCATACTATTAAAGGGGTCACCAGAAGCCTCGGACCGCTGCCTTTCTTCTTTTTTTCCTACAGAGAACTTAAGGCCGCAGCTGGCTCCAAATCCCTTAGGTGGATCTGGAAAAAGGCTTCAAGAAGCTTTGATGATCTTGCAAGCTATTGGCTATTGCTGACTCCATAAATCTTGGCAATCGTAGACAGAAGCCTCGATGATCTTGTTGCAGCGATGCCTTCTAATAAAACTCAAAGATCTCGATTGACTTAGAAAAGCTTCGAGAACCTTCGATGACATTGCAAACTGACGCTGATCTCTAGCGCCAAGAGTTCGTATGTCAGCCTCGGGTCCGATTCCACGATTATTTTCCGATATAGGTTCAGATACGGGTTTGAATACGAATCGGCAATACGGGTTGGAATACCAATACGGCTTCCAATACGGTTTCAATACGGGTTGGAATACGAATTGGGCTGGACGGAATACGGTTTGAATACTGGTTTGAATACGGGCTTGAATACGGGCTTAAATACGGCTCTGAATACAGGTCGAAAAAGGAAATACGGGTTTGAATACGGTTTTGAATACAGGTTGAAAAACAACATATTGGTACAGATACCAGTGAGAATGCAGGTCGAGATACACAACAAGATTTTGTGACAGGGGTTCGTGGTAGGGTTAGTAATAGGTTTGAGAAGACAGGTCGAAATATTCTTCTTGCCGCATGGAATTGCCGGCACAAGCCACGGCTGTGCAAGACAGCCTGAGTGCCAAGCAATACTACACTGTTATCATTACAGGATTACTTTTGCTAGCCACTCTTGGCCAGAAGGGAACATCGATCGGGTCCCCACCCCACCCCACCCCAGCCCCTTCACCCCGCCCCCGCCCGCCACCGCCGTGCGCCCCGCCCTGCCTCCACCCACCCCACCGACTGACCCGGTGAGGGAGGGCGCGACCCTGTATGGAAACCTGTATTGGGAACCGTATTGGAAACCGTATTGGAACCCGTATTGGAGCTCGTCTTGGAACTCGTATTGGAACCCGTATTGAAACCCGTATTGGAACCCGTATTGGAACCCGTAAAACGCTTGGGTTTTGGCACCAAACCACCCAGGGCAGGGCAGCAGGGCAGGGCGTGCGCAGGGCAGGCAAACCCAGCACAGGGCAAGGGTGTGGCGGTTGTGCGGGGTGTATTGCAACCACGCCGAAACCCGTATCCTGACCCGTAAAATTGTCTTGGTCCGGTTTGGACAACGGTTTGGGGTGGTAAAACCCAAGCGAAATACGGGTTTGGATACGGGTTCCAATACGGGTTCCAATACGGGTTCCAATACGGGTTCCAGTACGGGTTCCAATACGGGTTCCAATACGGTTTGGATGTTTCCAATACGGTTTCCAATACAGGTTTCCATACAGGGTCGCGCCCTCCCTTCACTGAGTGGTGGGGTGGGTGGGGGCAGGGCGGGGGCGGGGTGAAGGGGCTGGGCTGGGGTGGGGTGGGGTGGGGATCCGATCGATTTTCTCTTCTGGCCAAGACTAGCAAAACTGATCCGGTAATGATAACAGTGCAGCATTGCTTGGCACTCAGGCTGTCTTGCACAGCCGTGGGTTGTGCCGGCAATTCAATGCGGCAACAAGAAGCCTGCCCAGATCTTAGTTCTAGGCCTATTCAGAAACTTTTCCATATTCCCAGCATTATCATAGATCCTATTCAGTACCCCTATCCCGAATTCGTAGGCCTTATATATTCAGAACCGTATCCAAACCCATATCCAGAATTCCTAGGCGTATGTAGAACCGTATCCAAACCCGTATTCAAACCCGTATCCAGAACCGTATCCGAATGTGTATTAAAACCGTATTGAAAACCGTATCGTAGTTTTACAACCGTATCTACAAATCGTATTCAAACCGTATTGAAACTCATATTGGGAAATTACAGGCCGGAATGCCTTGCCAAGCAATAAACGAACTCTTGGCTCTAGCGGATATATAATAGCAGGATGAAGCACAAGAAATGATGCTGCCGGACGACCCCATTTCTGGGCCCACGAAACGAAAGCAAATCTGGCTTCGCCACCATGGGCCTCCGCAGTGCAATTCGGCTGGTTGTGGCATGTAAGGTGAGCGTGCAGCTGCTTTGGACAAGCCTTCTGGCTTTTTCAATCTTGTGTGTGTGTGTGATGCCCAAAACTGCTGGAACAAAGTCAGGCGCACGCCCGAGATCCAGCTGGTTGGCACCGAACATTTGCGACCCCAAAAATGGGGCCGTTTCGCGGCTTCGAAAACAAGGCTGCGAAATGCGCCCGGCCTCCCTAAATATATAGTCTGATCATGAGTTGGAGGCCTGGAACCCCGACCCCAAAAATGGGGCCGCCAAACGGCCCCATTTTTGGGGTCGCGAATTCTTCTACTTTGAGGCACGCCCGCCTGACTGCTACGCGACGAGGCGACTGGCGGACAGGCAAGCGTCCATGCAGCTTGGCAAAGACAATCTTGCAGGATTAATACTTCCATAGCCTGCTTTCTTGTGGAAGCAATCAGCATTGAATTAACATGAAAGAAACAGGCACAGGGCACAGTGCAATTCCGCTGGTTGTGGCATTTAAGGTGAGCGTGCAGCTGCCTTGGACAAGCCTTCTGGCTTTTTCAATCTTGTGTCTGCGTGATGCCCAAAACTGCTGGAACAAAGGCAGGCGCACGCCCGAGATCCAGCTGGTTGGCCCCGAACCTTTTCGACCCCAAAAATGGGGCCGTTTCGCGGCCCCAGAAACAAGGCTGCGAAATGCACCCGGCCTCCCTAAATATATAGTCTGAGCATGAGTTGGAGGCCTGGAAGCCCGACCCCAAAAATTGGGCCGCCAAACGGCCCCATTTTTGGGGTCGCGAATTCTTCTACTTTGAGGCACGCCCGCCTGATTGCTACGCGACGAGGCGACTGGCACACAGGCAAGCGTCCATGCAGCTTGGAAAAGACAATCTTGCAGGATTAAGACTCCCATAGCCTGCTTTCTTATGGAAGCAATCAGCATTGAATTAACATGAAAGAGGGCACAGGGGAGGCCCACTCAAGCGAGGCCAGAATTGCTGGACTTTCTCAGCCCTACATTTGGAGTCGCGCAGCTTGCCGTTTTCACTAACAGTGCAAAGCCTCTCGAACCGTCATTTGTGGTGTTTCGAGACAGAAACGAAGCCTTCCAAAGCCTCCCGCCGTGGGGTTCCGAGGCCCCACTCGTGGCGTTCGTGGCCTTGATGTGGCCTGTGGGTTTTGGGGGTTGGTTTAGGGGGTTTAGAGGGCGTGGGTGGGTTTGGGCTGGGTTCGGGTGGGTTTGACCATGTTTAGAAGGGTTGGGTGGGTTTGAGAGGGTTTGGGTGGGTTTGCTGAGTTTGGGTGGCGTCTCGAGAACTTGTTTGGCCGGTTTGTCTCTTACCTTGGCCGCCTGGCTGAGAAGGTTTCAGCAGCAGGGGTCTCGGCCACCATGGAGCGTGCGTCGCCAGAACGAGTCCATCTACACCCCTATCTTCATCTAGCAGTTGCCTTCCAGCGACCTGGACAGGATGCCCTCAACATCTTGCGGCCGCACGTGGCGCCAAATACCGCCTCCGGCAAGACATACCAGGGTGCTGTGCGATTTGGTCATGTTTACGTCGTCGCCGACAAACTTGGGACCTTGTTCCTGGGCAGCCAGCAGATGCTGCAGATGCTTAGATGCGTAGTTGAAGGGAACTTCGAGCAAGCTGCGGCTTAAAATTCTAAAGGGGGGAAAGCAGGGTCAGTTGCAGCCCGAGGCCTGGTGGGGACTCCTCAATTAGTATTATAAAGCCCCAAGTCCCTGAGGCCTCGTAATCTTGCAAGCTAAAGGGGTTTTGAGGTTCTGGAAGGCCTCGGATGGGCCTCGAACGGCTTCAAACCCTGGGAAATGAAGCCTCGGGCGGCCTCGAACGGCTTCAAACCCTGGGAAATGAAGCCTTGGACCTGGGTTGGCGGTAATGTAGTGTGGCAAGGATCGAGAGTTGACACTTGTTTTTGCAAGATTACGAGGCCTCGGGGACTCGAATCTTTCTCATACTATTAAAGGGGTCACCAGAAGCCTCGGACCGCTGCCTTTCTTCTTTCTTTCCTACAGAGAACTTTGGTGGATCTGGAAAAAGGCTTCAAGAAGCTTTGATGATCTTGCAAGCTATTGGCTATTGCTGACTCCATAAATCTTGGCAATCGTAGACAGAAGCCTCGATGATCTTGTTGCAGCGATGCCTTCTAATAAAACTCAAAGATCTCGATTGGCTTAGAAAAGCTTCGAGAACCTTCGATGACATTGCAAACTGACGCTGATCTCTAGCGGATATATAATAGCAGGATGAAGCACAAGAAATGATGCTGCCGGACGACCCCATTTCTGGGCCCACGAAACGAAAGCAAATCTGGCTTCGCCACCATGGGCCTCCGCAGTACGCATGGCCGTCACTTCTCAACTCCCAGCGAACACCTGCTGCCCGCCGATGTTTTGCTACATGCAGGAGACTTCACCAATACTGGAGAACTTGAGGAAGTTCGATCCTTGAACAAGTGGCTGGAGGACTATCCAGCAAAGAGGAAAGTGTTGATTGCAGGCAATCACGACATCACTTTCCAAGAAGATTACTACATATCGCGTGGGGCTCAGCGGTTTCATGGTGGCGTGCGCTGTAATTCCAGCCAAGCCAAGCGATCCCTCACCTGCTGCACATACTTGGAGGATACGTCTGTCGAAATGCAAGGCTACCGGATTTATGGGTCCCCCTGGCAACCCGACTTTAATGACTGGGCCTTCAACTTGCCGCGGGGCGAGGCACTGCAACGGTGTTGGGCCGCCATACCGTTGGACACGGACATCCTTGTGGTGCACGGCCCGCCAGCTGGATATGTGGACGTCACACCGGTGGGTCGAAAGGGAGATGTAGATTTACTGGCAGCCATCCAGAAGCGCATCGTGGTGACTGGACACCTGCACATGGGGCACGGCACTGCCACGGATGGAACCACTTTGTTCGTAAATGCGGCCACTTGCACTGAAGAGAATGCCCCCATACAGCCGCCCATAGTTTTCGACCTGGCACCCGCGGCAGAGCTGAGACAAGGAACCAAACAAGTTGGGGAAAGGATGCCATAAACGAAAAATGGGGCTCGAGGACGTCTGCAGCAAAGCCTCTCCATGAGATTACTGTAGCTCATCGCGAATGCAAGCTGCGGGGTGCAGCCACGTTGTGCATAGGCGGTCTAAACCCGCATTTACGTGAGAGTGGATAAAGGGTCACGTGTGTTTGACCTGAAGGCCTCGTCCCGCACTGCTTATGTGCAGCCTTGGTGCGCAGGATGATGGCCTGTCCGTAGAACACCTTGCCTTCTTATGGCAGACGGGGGGCAGGGGCGACTTTGAATGTGAGCTGAGTCACACGAAGTGTTTGTGTAAAGCGCAAAAAGCATGTAGTATGGTTTTGGGTTTTGGGGTGAGCCGGAGCGGACCTTGCTCAGGTTGGCGGCGCCAGCTGCTTTGGAGGCATCAAGCAAGCCGCTAAAACCGATCCGTTGTTGTGCCGAAAAAGCGGTGCGAATGCAGTCTCGGGAGGTAGCTCCGTGTTAGTTCCGTGTTTGGAATATTGAATTGTGACCAGGGCCTTAACCCCTAAAACCCTAAACCGTGCTCAGCTATGGGCATTTGGGTATGGCGGTTCTCCATGCTCAAGACGCACACACACATGCACACACGCAAACCGTGACAGTACGCTTCATACTGCCATGCAAAACCCTAAACCCTTAAACCCCAAAGCCCTAAACCGTATGAGGACAATGAGGACCCAACCCGAAATCAAACCCACGGGTATGCTCGATGTAGATGTTGCTAGTACCCGCGGTTTGGCATTCCCAAGCGGCATCCACAACGGTATGTGCTGCAAACTGTTTGGTGGTCCTGCTTTCACATTTTTTGCCGCCCTTCCAATGGCTGAACATCTCCAAGTCGTTGGAGTTGTCAAGCCTGTCAGATGTTGGAAGTCCATATCAAGCTCGTGTGGACCGAACACAAAGACCAGCAGGCGTTATCATCTACTGCCCTCCAGGTCAGTGTCCAATGTGGAGTAGTTGGTGGATACTCCCTTCAGGTTCGATTCTTTGGTTGACGTGAAAGGATGGTGACGGTGCTCCGACTGGCAGCTGTTTCGGCTTGACTCAAGTAACCGATGACTGGTTTGCCAAATTATTTTACGTGCCCCCGCCACGGTTGAGTTGCAAGTGTCCAGCACGGTTGTTTGCTTACTTGGAGGATCATGGGACTTAGTAAGTAAGGTTATAAGTACCTTAATTTGGGTTATAAGTATGGTTACCCTAATTATAACCCTAGTTACTAAGTCCCACGATCCTTTAAGTATCCCTCAAATCCCCATACCCTAAATCCCAGAATCCTGCATCCCAAACACTAAAACCACGACTCGCAAGCGGTTGAACCGGAAGTACGTGAATCTTTCTTGACATTGCAGAACTCATCCCCAAACGGAAAAAAACTATCAAACCCTAAACCCAAGCAGAAAGAGTATTTTGCCACCAGAAGGTAGGTCTTGACCTAAACCCCTGCTGCCGTAAGAAGGTTTAGGTACTGTTTAAGCCCTGAGCTTCAAAGATGTCAAATCCAGTTTAGGGTTTTCTGTGGCTTCGATTCCGGTTTAGGTTTAGGGTTTAGGGTTTTCTGTTGGTTGTCACCAGTTCTGGCATGGTTTGGCTTTTGGGTGAAAACGGTCGTGTCTCGATGGGTCATGCGGGTTTACCGGGCTCGGCGCCTGTACGAGATGTGGAATTTAACACCCTAATCGGCTGCCTGGGGCATACCATCTAGTCATGCGACCTATTTCCTAACCCCGAATCCCTAAACCATAAATCCATAGCCAACCTTCTAAGACCGAACCTCGGTATAGCAACCTTTGAGGAACGTTTGAAAGAACATTCAGAAGCCTACTCAGAGGATCGTGGGATGTAGTAAGTAAGATCACATAATTACCGGATCAGGTTGTAAGTAGTTTACGTATAGGTTATAAGTATAGTTACAGTATTCATAACCCTAGCTAGCTACTAAGTCCCATGACCCTTTAAGTATGACCCAGACCCTCGGAGAAACGCTCCTGCCAGGCCATGCGTATATGCAGCATAGCTGCATGCTGCTGCTTCTTGCACGGCACTCGGGGCAGAGACAAGGGGAATATGGAAAAATTACTGTCCGGGCTTAGGTTGTGAGGTTTCGGTTTCAGGGAAGATTGGACGCACCGATGGTTTCTTGTCTGCGCTTGGGCTGTGCCGCAAACCCTGGAAGCCTTGGAGCTGAGGGGCTTCAAAAGGTGGGAGGAAGGTCGGTACGGTTGATGATATAAATCCTGCATGACCCATAATAAGGAGTATATACCATAAATCCCATAATTTAGGGTCCTTAAGGTAATGCAGGATTGGTCTCATCAACAGTAGGATGAAAGATCCCTGGTTTTATGTGCTCTTAACCGGGGATCATCCCACCTATCTTCATCCCACCGTCGGAGCCCTTCAAAGGGCTCCGTACCACGAAACCTAAGTCCGATACAAAAGCAAGGCTCACAACCCCGCTTCAAGGAACCCTCAAACCCCGAAGGGATCCTTCAAAAACACGCTAAACCCCCAAACGGACCCGTAACGGAACCCTCAAACCACCACAGGAACCCCTAAAACCCCCAAAGGCTCGACCGAAACCACGGCCCTAACCTAACCCGAATGCCTGACACCCCGAAACCTCGAGCTGCGAGGCCCCTGAACCATAAACCCAAGACCCTTAACCCCAAGCCCCTAAACCCTAAACCCCTAAACCCTAAACCCCTAAACCCTAAACCCTAAACCCCTAAACCCTAAACCCCTAAACCCTAAACCCTAAACCCCTAAACCCCTAAACCCTAAACCCCTAAACCCTAAGCCTTTTCAAGCCCAAGCCCAAAGGTCTAAGACCCCCCTGCATTGTCTTCCTTAGCCAACGAGGACTTCAACCGTGTTCACCCTCCACTCGAAAAAACAGATGTGCTTGTTCATGCAGTATTCAGATTTAGTCTTGGTAGGATGTTTTTTTGGGTCTATCTTTTCTTATGGATTTTAACAAGTCTTACGTATTGAACTGGAATGGTTTCGGGTCTTTGGGTTGTGTTTTTGCTTGGCCCAGGTCTCCCGTCTTTTGCCTTCGAGAAGCCACGGATGAGGCAGCTCTGACGTTTTACGCCCAAAAAGCGTTCAGGGGTTTAGGGGGGTTTGGGGTTTAGGGGGTTTCGGATTCAGGGTTTTGGTTGCAACTTTGGGGTTCAGCGTTTAGGGTTTTGGGTCCAGCGCTTGAGTTTGGGGGATGTGATGCTGTGATGCTTAAGGATCAGAGGATTTCGCTGGGGTTCCTGACGAAGTTGATCAAACATGTTCCGGCGCCCCCTATACCCTAAGCCCTAAGCCCTAAACCGTAATAGCTGAGCCTTGGAGAGCTGCTCGGTTTCACAAGCCGAAGCGTAAGCCCTACACCCACCGGGCCTTTGCCGACAAGGGTGGTGGCGGAAGCAGAGCACCGATCCTCGCTTCAGCAATTCCCACATCACGCGCTCAATTTTTAGCAAGCTTTGATTCTTAGGCACCCTTACTTAAAGGATCATGGGACTTATAAGTAAGGTTACACGGTCATAAGTACTTTATTTGTGGTTGTAAGTACAGTAATTATAAGCTGTAAGTATGGTTACCTTACATATAACCTTAGTTACCAAGTCTCAAAATCCGTTGAGACAGAAAGGCAACTCTCCATCTTCCACACCGAAACGATAAATCCCACAGGACCCACCTTTTCGAAAAGAGCCCAAAATAGTAGAACCTCTGATATGAAAGCCGTTAGAGGAAGGCTACAGAGACTTTACAAAGTCTCAGGAACTTGTATAGG